CAGAGGTACGAGCCCATCTCGGACTCGTGGCTGGACTCTGCGGGGATGATGTACTGCCGCTGCAACTTCGGCCTGACGGCGCTCTGAGCCCGGCCCGGGCTGAGCCAGCACCTCCCCGGCCCTGGGAGCCACCGGGGCCCCCTCGGCCCCTCCGGAGCGCGGCCAGGGAGCCGAGCTGCCCTGGGCACCCCGCTGGCTGCGGGAGAGAGCCGCCATCCGCTTGGGAATCTGTCCGTCCCTCCCTTCCCAGAGCTTCTGTCTCTTCCCCCTGCGGAATGTGGGGTTCCTGCGCTGGGGGAGCTCGGGGTGCCGAGCCCTGCCCGTGTCTGCGCGCCGGGAAAGCGCCAGCGCTTCACGGGGTTTTTTATGACCAAGGGCTGCCTTGTTTCTGTATCTCAAGGTTTGTACATAATAAATGCCATAGGATGTTGCCTGTACTCTCCTTTGTCACCTGCTTCCTGCTAGGAGGGCTGGGATCATCCTTGGAGACGATTACAAGGAGAATTTATTGCCTCCTCGGGACGTTTTTGGGTCTGATGAAGAGAATTTGCGTTTTTAACTTTCCCCTTCTGCTTTGGGAGAAGAGTTCTAGCTGAACCCACTTAGCCCTGCTGTTGGAATGCGAGGAGGAATCCCAGCAGCAGCGTTCCTAGCATGATATCCCACAAATCCTCCATCCCATCCTTCTCCCGTGCTCCCCCTTTTCTCAAGGACTGTGTGATTGCTCCCCCTGAGCATCCCCATCTCCCACTGGTGCTAAAGCAGGGGTGCCCAGGCTGTTCTGATGTCAGTGCACTCCTGATAAAAGCATGTTTGCATTGTTCCACTGTTTGCTTTCTTCTTTGCTGTGCAGTGCCAGCCCCTGTGCAAGGAGCTCCTGCTGGGTGTTTCAGTGGGGTTTTTAACCTTGATGTTCATTGTTCTGCCCTTCACCCCAGGGGAGTTGAGACAGGGGTGACATATCCTGCTGAAACAGGGTTAATCAGGAAAACCGGGCCCAAGAAAGTGATGCTGTGGGTTACAACAATCATTTAAAACATAATTTAACCAATTTAGCACATTTTGGGTTGTCTTCTCACCTTAAATTTCTGTGGTCTCTGCCCGTTGCAAGGCCTGGAACGAAGGATTCATATTTTTTTTTTGCCTCCAGAGTTTCCTTTCCCTTCATTTTAACGTGTTGGGTGTTTGTTTTCCCAGCCCACACAGTGTTATTTTGAAAAGTGCAATAATATTTGGCACAGTTGCTTTAAAAACCATTTCTTTATGATTTTGCTAAATGGGGAGGGTTGAGTGCTCTGGATTTTTCCTGAATTCCTGCAGAGCTGGTTGCAGCCAGGGCTGCTCCAGTTCTTCCATTCCAATCCCTGGAATTTCACCAGTCCAGGAGGGTTTTGTGACCATAAAACATCATTCAGGTATCCCAGACTGCACTGACCATAAAATCCTGCAGGTCTCCTTCAGATTTGGTGGAACTGAGCAGAACTTTAAATGGAAATACCAGAAACTGCACTGAAAATGCTGGAGTTGTTAATTTGACCCACAGGGATTCATTCAATTGTTAATCTGACCCACAGTGCCAGTAATAAAAGCCTGGTTTAACTGTTCCAGAGCATTGTTGGCAGCACAGGAGGGGCTCCATGGCTTTATTTGCATGTTTGTGCGTGGGGAGGAGAAGGAATCATGGAATTCCAGACTGGTTTGGGTTGGGAAGGCACCTAAAACCCACCCAGAGCCACGGCAGGGACATCTCCCACTGTCCCAGGCTGCTCCAGCCCTGCCCTGCCTGGCCTGGGACACTGCCAGGGATGGATCACAACAAAAAATCCCTAAACAACAAAAACATCACCTAAAAACCCCATCAATTACAACAACAACAACAAAAAAAATCCACATTATGGTGATTATTTATATCAACATCTTTCATTTATGGAAGTCAAAGCAGTGAAAATCAAAAAATGTGTTTTATATTCCCTTTCTCCAGACAGTGGTAATGATGAACCCCAGAATGGTTTGGGGTGAAAGGGGCTTTGAAGACCACCCTGTTCCAGCCCTTTCCATGGGGAATTCTTCCCCTGGGATGAGGTCAGAGGAGGTGAATGATGTCCCAGATCAGCCCTGTGCTGTGGATGTGACATTGCCTCGCTGGAGAGAGCAGCAGAAACTGATTTTTATTGTGCAGGAGAAACGCCTGAAGAATTTTCCTGCTGTTATGGGATGAACTCCTCCCCTGGAGATGGATCAGCTCAGGGATCGTGTCCCTTAAATTCACTCTGTGAAAAACGAGCTTCACAGAATTTTTATAGAATGTAAAAGTTGAATAAAAAAAGACAATTAAGAGAAAAAAATAAAGTACCCAGATCTGGCTGTGTGTCTCTGCATTCACCTCACTGACAAAGGATTGTCCCTTAAAAACAGAACCCTGCTCCATATCCAGAAATTCTCACACATATTCAGACATTCTTCTGTGGATCTTTGGGGTTCTTCTGTTCAGTTTTCTCTTGCCCCCTTCCCAATAGAGCAATGCTCTTGGTGCCATCGAGATTTACATTCCCTGATCCCAGAAATGCAATAAATTCCTCCCCCAGAGTTCTGGGCACTGCTGGCTTCATCTGGATCAGAAAGTTTACAAAAGGAAAAAAGATCTCCAGCTCTTTGTCAGTCTTTGGGTTACACAAACAAAAGCAGTTTTTGTTTTAATGCTGCCATAGCTTAACATACATGTATTATAGCACTATTTCTGAGTTTCATCAATAACAGAAATAAAGAAGACTGTATTATTACAGCTAAATTTTCTAATCTTATCCATATAATATTCATTATAATACTTGTGAAAAGCCAATAATATGATATGAATTTATAACAACCCCATCCCCATTTCTGTCCTGTCCCTTCAGGGCTTGGGCAGAGGGAGACCAGACACAACAATCAGGGTAAAACTCTGGAAAACTCGCTAATCCCATGGGAATGTCAGGCTGGGAGCTGGAAAATCAGGGACCTGCAGCTGCCATGTCACAATTACCATCGGTTCCAGTTCCTTGTGTCTCAAATTGCACCTCACAATGTGTTAAATGAGTTTATTTGTGTCCATACACCTCGGGATTTCTGCTTTTTAAAAGGTGATCATCTAGGAGCTGCTTGCCAGGCTCTCCTCCCAGGAGTGCTTTCCTCCCAGAGACTGTTGGAATTTTTATTCTTGTTACAAATATTGGGAGCTAACGTTGTTTCAGTGAACTTCCCATCTGGAAATCCCCGTTCCCTGTATGAAACAATGCAAAACATCCCAAAATGCCTTCAATTCTTTCCATTCACCTGAAGCACAAAGCACTGCATGGGAATTCCTATTTTTATTATTTTTTATTTTTGGCCTTTTGTGGTCTGCTGTGTTTTAAACCCACGGAAAATTCTGTTTTTTTGGGCAGCTGTGCCAGGGCTGGACAGCCCTTTCCAGGAGGGAATTTTCTGATATCCAATCTAAACTCACCCTGGTGCAACCTGAGGCTGTTTCCTCCTGTCCTGTCCCATCCCTCAGGCACTGGGAGGACACTGGGAGTTACTGGGGGGTGCTGGGAGGGCAGTGGGAGGACACTGGGAAACACTGGGAGCATTGGGAGGCACTGGGAGTTACTGGGGGGACACTGGAAGACACTGGGAAGAACTGGGAGGACACTGGGAGGCACTGGGAGTTACTGGGGGGCACTGGGAGGGCACTGGGAGGCACTGGGAGGACACTGGGAGTTACTGGGGGGCACTGGAAGGGCATTGGAAAGCACTGGGAGTTACTGGGAAACACTGGGAGGCACTGGGAGCACTGGGAAACACTGGGAAGCACTGGGAGGCACTGGGAGTCACTGGGAGTTACTGGGGGGCACTGGGAGGCACAGGGAGCACTGGGAGTTACTGGGAAGCACTGGGAGGCACTGGGAGCACTGGGAGTTACTGGGGGACACTGGAAGGCACAGGGAGCACTGGGAAGCACTGGGAGTTACTGGGATGGGCACTGGGAGCACTGGGAGGCACTGGGAGGCACTGGGAGCACTGGGAGCACTGGGAGCACTGGGAGGCACTGGGAGTTACTGGGAGGCACTGGGAAGCACTGGGGGGCACTGGGAGGCACTGGGAGTTACTGGGAGGACACTGGGAGGACACTGGGAGGACACTGGGAGTTACTGGGAGGCACTGGGAGGACCCTGCTCTGCTGTGCCAGGCCAGAGGTGCCCCTGCACTCCAGGGAGGCTGGGATGGATCTGGGATGCTCCACTGGAGACCTCGGAGCCTCAGCAGCAGCCCCAGCCCCGCGCCCCCCTCGGCTGGGGTGGGAGGGGAATCCCATCATCCCAAACTGGGAATGCTTCCATTGGGAATCCCATCATCCCAAACTGGGAACGATTCCATTGGGAATCCCATCATCCCAAACTGGGAACGATTCCATTGGGAATCCCATCATCCCAAACTGGGAATGCTTCCATTGGGAATCCCATCATCCCAAACTGGGAATGATTCCATTGGGAATCCCATCATCCCAAACTGGGAATGATTCCATTGGGATTCTCATCATCCCAAACTGGGAACGCTTTGAATTCCTGCATCAGCACGGGGAGCACGGAGACACTGGGAAGGGGATGGGTATTTGGGAAGGGGATGGATATTTGGGAAGGGGATGGATATTTGGGAAGGGGATGGATATTTGGGAAGGGGATGGGGATTTGGGAAGGGGATGGATGTTTGGGAAGGGGATGGATGTTTGGGAAGGGGATGGATATTTGGGAAGGGGATGGGTATTTGGGATGGGGATGAGCATTTTCAGAGTTACTCTCATGGCCAGGTATTTGGGATGGGGATGAGCATTTTCAGAGTTACTCTCATGGCCAGGAATCAGTGCTGTGTTTAAAATCCTCATCCTTTGACAGGGTGAATCCATCCTGGAAGTGCCCATCCCTGGAAGTGCCCATCCCTGGAAGTGCCCAAGGCCAGGCTGGACAGCCCCTGGAGCAGCCTGGGACAGTGGGAGATTTCAGTTATGGCTCCAAGCTGATTTTTCCAAATCCATTTCAAGATCTGCCTGAGCAGCTCCCTGGGTGCATGGGAGAAGTTTAGATGCCCCATTCCCATTCCCATGATCTTCCCAAATCCTCAGCAAGGCTGAGGCTCCCTAGGGATCCAAACATTTCACCCTCTGGGGCCCCCCAAACACCGACCCCAGAGGAGTCTGGCAGCATTTGAAACCAACAAAATCTGATTTTTGTGGTTCCCAACCAGCTGCTGGCAGGCTGCAGGTGGAGAGGCCCCAGTTAATCCTGGGAAGTGTCCGGCTCCATGTCCCTCCTCTTCCCCACGGCTCCTTCCTTGTTGGGATCTCACATTTTATCTGCATTCACGTCGCCGCCGATCCAGCCCGGCACCGCTGCTTTAATTCAAAGTGACAGAGCTTATCGCACTG